CTACTGTAATACTATTCAAGCGGTATGATATTCACTTATATAATATTGTCCAGAACTCGAGTAAAATAGGCGAGTTTGACATCAAATTCCATAAAACAGGAGAAATCCTTCAATCTTGTTTGACATACCCTACAATCATGCTAATGGTTTCTACGTCCGACAGCCTCTCTAGGATGGAAGACGAATGTGATTTATGAAGCTCCATCTCGACCTTCACGTTCACGCCGTTGGAGGCGAGTGAGAAGGTATTCTTAGAGTTTAATTAAGCTGGAGAGGAATTTGTAAACCAAAACTGGAACAAGCGTGACCGCTGATACACGAACTCACTTCCGTCTCTGTGAGAATGTCAAGGTCTAGTTCTGACTCAGCAATTCAAGAAATATTATAAGTGCTAATGAATCAGTACGCAGAATCTGTATTAATTCTATTTACCAGTGTCATTGCGGTATGCCTACCTAATTCATTATTTTGAACGATTCGATACTATTAAAGACGATGACAAAGACATATATTTGATAAAATGTGGCATGAATGTATGAACTCAAGACTGAGGACTTGAGAAATAATACTTCCCTACTAGAGCACTAAACATTAATCAACATAGCTTTAAACTATTCATTATGACGAGAGCTTGCCCTGTGGTCGAAAACTCGACCTACCGAGGTCTACGTTATTGTGCAAACTTCTTTATTTTAACCCCATAAAACATGTGATTGGAATTTCTTCCATTTGTTTTGATTTTCTATTTATATTTTGTTGTTCTTTCGTAACCAACATGGCACTCATAGGCCCGTGCAGTTTTTTTTTAAATTTAAAATTAATTTGTCATGCTTATTTTTGAGCCTATTTTAGTTTTAAGGGATTTTGCACATCTACAGGAAAATATCTTAAATTTGGTACCAACCACCAACCGCGTGTAGCTCGGTCCTACAGTATGGTCAGGCTGTTAGCCTGACCATACTGTATTATAAGTTTTGCAAAAGTTTTTAGTGTATAAGATTACCCTACTGAAATTTAAATTAAATGATATTTTTATACCTGGTACATGCAAATGTAATGATGTGAAATCAATAATTTTTATTGATTTTTGACATTTCGAAGGATTGTTCACCTGGGTTCTTGTACCCTAAATAATCTAGGAATGTAGCATTTTTAAATTCAACCCATCCCCTGTCCCCCCCAAATATATAGAAACCCCTGTAACAGTTTCTTAACCACTTGTATAGTTCTTACTGTTCAACTGGCTACTTACCGTAGTATTAGTATTTTATAAACGCAAAACAATTCCCCAGTAACATATTGTTTCCCGTGGGACTGACCCCCAACCAAAAATGATGACCTGGGGGTGGTACGCAGCGCCTCCAACGAGCCAAACGCGAGTTTATAATATACTGGGGGCTATGTATGACTAGTAAATAAGGAAAATTGTTGATAAGCTTTTCCAAATAAGAAAATTTGTTTGTTCAGTTATAAGTTATAAACAATATATTAGTATAACAAAATATAATGTATGGTGATGAAGACAGAATCGTTGCATCAAATCTATTTTACAGTTCGCTAGACCAGAAACACAAAGCAGATTTGCGATGAGTAAACTACAAGTACCATAAATCACTTTCGCTAAATTACTGAGTTCCGGTGCCTCAGGTCTGACACTGACAATGCGATGATTCTCGTGAGCCTTCAAGCTGAACGTGGCTTCAGCATCAACATCGGCATCAGCACAGGTGTCTCAGGTGGGGAGTTATAGTCTTCATACCACAGGTACAGGGCTAACCAAACATGCGGCGGTTGTAAATCTGCGTGGCTTCACGATACTAATAAAATAAATACAATGTTGCCTGCTATGCATAATTCCAATGAATCAATGCTTATGCTAGGACCGTAGATTTACTATTGTTGATATTTTAATCTATTAGTTCCAGGATACAGGATTAAGGTTAATATATTCTTTAAGAGACTCAACTCATGCCCTCTTCCAATGGAGAAATATATCACATGACATAACTAGATAATACTTGAAACATTGGTTTAACTGATATGGTCTACCTACTAAAGTTACAATTAGTGTTAAAATAGAAGTACAGGAATCGTTAAAACGTTATAATAAGCTTGACCTCTCAGCTAGTCTGAATTGCATGGAAATTAAGTCGTCTGATTGTGAATCTCACATCATATAACATGTAGTGCAGATCAACAATTGTAGCTTTCAGCAACTACCTACTAGGCACATCATATAACATGTAGTGTAGATCAACAATTGTAGCTTTCAGCAACTACTTACTAGGCCCACCATATAACATGTAGTGCAGCATGTAGTAAGGCAGTTACGGAGATCCATATTGTAAATAATTATAGTGTTCATTACCGTCAACTTCGGCTCCACTAACAAAGCCAATAACGTCTCTGGCGTTTGTCGTTGTATAAAAGTGCACTTTATGGCTCAATGTTAAACCAAGTCCTCTTAAAATCCTTGAGATTCGAAAAACTACTTGCCAGAGACTTCTTACGAAATGCCACGGAAATTTTGGAATTAAACTTTTCCTTTCAGGGAGACGTCTCCGGTTTATTTTGGTCCAGGAATTTATTCAGTATGAGAAAATATGATTGAGAAAGTTCTGTTTAACCTGGGGGATGATATGTTTTGTGCCAAATATTGTACAACACTTATTAGTTTGTGTTATTTGTATAATGCATAAGCGTGGTCTGACTTACAGTTTTATTTAAATTGATTTTTCTCATTCTTTATTTCAACATACAGTTAAGGTTAAAATCGTCAGTGTTTTTTGTTTGCATAATATACCCAAATTAAAGCTAAGTGGGTGACGACGTGCATACCAACGTGACCTAAGCCGTGTCTTTAAAAGTAATTTTTGTAAGTAAATTAGTCCTGTTTCTTACAAACAAAATAATATCCCCTTCTCATCCCAATAGTTAATTTTATTTATCTTTCACCGTTTCCGTATTCTAGCTCTCCGGGCTCTGTACGGTATAGTACATACAGCAGTAGGTCTAGTGTTGGGTAACAGCACAATTAACATAGAACAGTGGGTGCCAGATCCCGTAAAGCATTGTCACGGTTTGCAGACCGCACCTGGCTGAACACCTGTGGAAGTGCATGATGCTCCCTGAGTAATGGTAACTAGCCTAACGGCTGCATCTATACGACTTGTTGCACTTGAAGAATGTGTAATGTCCGTCATGGTTGAATGAATCCAATATCAGCATCACATTTGATAATACATCCATCCAAGCGTACCTAATACAATTTTACAGCATCAATTGCCATGGGAGAGTTCGCACACTGTTTTAAAGCATTTATTACAACGATTGAAAATAAACTTTGCAAGAAGATAGGGGTTCCATTCATTTAAAAATCTCGGTTGAAACGTCATATTTAATGAGGTTATATAGGGAAAACAAAAAGCAGTAAAATGACAAAATCGCTTTACAAGACTGGCCAGGTTCAAGGTAAGGTAGAAAGCCTACTAGGTAGGTCAATGACAATGCTCTCAAGATCAGGTCAGTGACCACTTAATAACGTATCAGTGGGATGTCGTGAAGGGACATGAATTAATGTCGTTGGAGGTGATGTTATAGTCAGATCCAAGCAAATGTCATCTGACAATGTTTGTCACTAAACGGTTGGAACATTTTAATGCGGTCCATTTGTGTGTACTTCAAATCATACATATTCCGGGATATGGTTATTTTTGTAATCAATGAGGGCATTTGGTCAGCGCGATTAACTAAAAGAAATAGCTATAGCAATTAATTATAGTAATACAAATTGTCTTCTGCCTTCAGCAAAAGAAGGTCTTTACACGAATATATAGTAGACCTATCATTGGAGGCCTATTTGTTCATGTTAGGTGGAGCTAAACCTCAAAGTCCTAGCATAATCACTTAGTTAAAAGATATTGGCCGGATGTGAAGTGGGCCCTCCAGAAAGTTCCTTGATCTAACCTCAATAAAATCCACGCCCAGAAATAAATATACCATGAGAGGATGCAAAGTCATTTTGGTGTTAAAGTAAAGTAAAATCAATACCATCACCACAACCACTGGTTATGATTTTCAGCGTAGCACGAGTAGGTCAATAAATATGTGATATTATATGTATTATCATATCATATTATAACTAAGTATATACAGAAGAATGTTAATTAAAGTTTCGGTGAACTCGTAATTATACACATCGTAGTGTGTGCGTAGGTAGCATTGAACAACTCATAAACATTTTAAAGATATTGCATGAACAAACGTGTGGTACTGAAACATATGCTGTCATCGATGTATAAATAGATTACGTAACCAGAGTACTTATATTTAAATCAAGGATTCAAGGATAATATTAAGATCCATATAACCACCCCTTGAAAAGGTTTTGAGTTGAATTAATTAACTATGTCGGCTAAGATCAAAGCCATCCTTAGAATGTTGGGATCTACTCAATACTAGTTTGGTAGCATTTCCATGTAGTGTAATATTTCAGTTTATTCCTTTTGTAAAATAAATTCATATATTAAAAAAATGGTGATCCGGGTGTTCATGTGCTAGTGAATCAATTAATTGATTGATTCCTATTAATTATAGGTTGGTCACCATACCGACCGCGACTCTAAGTAAAGAAACAACCCTTTCCGTCTCTTTGCAAAAATGAAAGGTCTGTGATATCCAAGTTATGAAAATAAGAGAAGTCTAAGCCCTTGTTTGGAAGAACATTTTAAGAGTTAATTTATCGTAGTCTTTAAATGAGATAAAGATATACGAGATTGATACATTTGTTCATTGCGAGAGTTGCGACTTCCTACGCACGTTGCCTTCAGAAGAACGTCAGATACGTTTTTGTCTCATGCTTAGGTAAGAGAGAACTACATTGAATTATTGAAATAGCCAATTGATTTGCTGAAAAGGCAGAACACAATTTATCCATAAATAAATTGTCTTAAAACCAAAAACCACTAAATTCCAACAACCAATTAAAGTGCTATATTTACCTGGTCACAAGCGTTGGAATATCTCATCAGCAATGGTGCAACGACTGTTTCCGAATCCACTCCTAGTTCTTTCCTGAGCTGCGTAAACTGGAAGAGAGCATCTTTGTCACACTCCACACGACGTTGCAGAATAGCCAGGAGGATGGCCAGTGATCTGTTTCCTAGAGCAGGCTCAACCACATTTAAGAGGGTTTTGTTCTTGATCAGCCTCTCTTGAATGTCAGCTTGCCTCAGTGATAATTGCCGCTGGTGAGAAGCTTGAACCGGTGCTGGGCCTTTATTTACACCGTCTCTGCGACCAGAAAGACTTAGTTCTTCAAGCTTCTGCAAAGCCGTTTTGTAAGTATCAACCAGCCGTTGGAATTCAACCTTCAGAGCATCGTGTAGGTTGGTCAAAGTTTCGTCGCTGGTACCGACCAGTCCATGCTGGCCGAGCCCTTCAACAGCTTTATCCAACGATCTTCTACGGAGTTGAAGAGCCTTTCGCAGTTTTGGTTCTGACAGTACGATGACTTTCAATAGTTTCCTCGTGCTTCCCAGCCATCTTTCAGCACTGTTGTTGTTTCCAGTGAAGAGTTTGACAAGCTGCATGAGCACCGCCTCAGGTCGCAGTATCTTAACACCGCAATCAGAACTCAGAAATACCTTGGCGTAAAGTGCCTCTAGGATACTTACACTATGAGGCATAGCCTCGACGAATACGTCTATCGGAAGCTGGCTTAGAATGGCTTTGAAAGTTGAGTGGCTAAGGCGGTTGATGAAATTGGCAGCTTCACGATACTGAGCGTTTTCATAGAGCAACAGAATCCTCTTGACAGCAAACCTCGGGCTTACATCTGCGATTGTCATAGAGCTCACCATCTCAGGGAAACCATCCACCCACTGAGAGTTCCTCCACTGAAGCTTCTGCACATTCATCCCATGTCGATTCCGCTCAGGCTTGATCCTTTCGACTCCTCGGACAGGCTCCGAGTTGTATGAGGTCCAGGTTGCCCCAGGATCCGCCAGAGGGGGAGGTGGCAAAGTCAACATCCCCGAACGTCGAGGATACGCCTCGTAGTAGCGATTCATTGCGTTTGTTTATACACTTAACCACAGATTTCACGACTTGTAACAAACAGAGAGAAAACAAGAACACAAATAAAAGCCATATCCAAGAAAAATGTTGTATTTTAATTTGTAATTCACTTTCTACAAAGTTTGAGAAAATAAAATGTTTCAATTCCTTCAAACTAGGTTTTAAGGTATAACAGATATGGGTGAGTAGCTTTAAAACACACTTAGTTTTAAGGGCTGTTTTTAAATAACATCGAACAAGTATACGAATTATACCCAATCCAATACACGAGGTACTCGAGGAGGCGAGAATGAACAGCGGCAACTACGTCTGTAGCTGAGACGCGGACGGAACTGAGCAGGACCCGCAGACGCAGGTGGGAGGGGAACCAACAGGTCCTTCCCTTCTCCTCTTGCCTCTTCTCTCCTTTACTCCCTTCCTATTTGATACTCTTTGCCTTTTTGCCGCATTCCAGTGACAACACGGGCCTATCTACAGCCCCGGGCCCACCACATCACTACACCGTGAATTATAGGCGTTTAAAGCTGGAAGAAAACGGTGGGCTGACCACATCGAAGAGCATTTTATGAGACTAGTTTAGCGATATAAACTAGATTTGGTGTTCGTCGTTTAGAAAAATTCAAACACGTCCTACTCGCTCCCTGTGGCAATGCTAATATGAAGTTCGACTTACTTTTAGTTTATCCCACTTACATTTCTGTGATAAAACAGTGTTATCGTATGCTTTAGAAGTATTGTAAACGCGGATTTTTGTTTCTCCGCCTATAATTAGTTTTAAATAAAGATAAACAAATAACCCTTTTTAAACTTGTGTACCCTTTAAAGTCAATTTACACAATTCCAGATACAAAAAAGGGTGTCTTAATTTGTACAATAAAAGATTTATATATATATATTGATAGTACCTTTTTTGTTACGTTTAAAAAATAGTTATTTCTACGATCATCAACCCTGATCGGCGACCAGAGGGAGTTAGTCTCATATCCGAGGCACGACGGCTCCGAATTATAATAGTTGTTTCATTAGCGATCTGCTAAATACAATGGCAACAAGAAAAGTGAAATTTTACTATCAAGTCGGTTTTATTATAGAATCTTTTATTATCATGGTTTTATTATAGAACCTTTTATTTGTAAGCAATTTATACGAACCATTGTTGCTGGTAAACATTGTTTAATTAAATACTTTAATTTGCCCGACGAAGTTTCAGACATACTAGTGTTCTATTTAGTTGTGGTCGTATAATCAAATTATTATGACAAATCAGAACAATCTATGTAATAAACCGCTAGTCCTCTCGTATTTTTACTAAAGAGTTAAGTTCAGTGTACAAATTACCTTAAAATAAGATAAGTCCATTGATACAACATCATAGGACCCAAATGTAACTACAGGACAAAACAACAAGCGTTTTATTTTACAGTAATATGAGAGATTCTTGCAGTATCCAAAATAAATAGGAAGAGTTTGGACAGTGCTGAATACTTCGTGATGGGTTCAAATTGAATACTTTTGATATTTATGGCTACAGTCTATTTTTGCATTTTCAATAATTACGCCAACGACTCACGCCATCCTACTCATTTCAAGACTCAGAATAGTTTTCTATCGTTACTTGATAGTTACATTGAACATAACTGTATACTCTAATACACGAATACCAGATAGTCAAGGAAGTCTCGTCCATCACTGGACGGACGTAACAGTAGATTGCGCATAATTGACCTCTATTGTTGCAAAAGTCAGTAATAAAACACTAGGCCGATGTGAAGCCCGACAGTCCGGTATTGTAAAGACCGGCCACCAATCACGGGACATTCCCAGTGACCTCTCTGACCCGCGAGTACCGTAACATGTAAACAACCACAACCCTCGGGACGCAGCTGCGCTTTAAATGCATTCTACGTTTTTGTCGGTTTTATCTCTTAGCACGACTCAACAAACTGGTTCCATGTAGGAGATCCGTTTCGTCTTGAATCCGACAACGAAGTTCTTTGAGTTATGACATGAAAAGTGATTTACCTTACTTAGTTTTCTTATGTATTATAATGTAATTAGAAAAATACAGTTTCGAATATGTGGTAATAATTTGTTTCTAAAAAAATACCATTTTCAGAAACTGATCGTATTATTTAATGTGTTTTTATATATTAAACTAATGAAATATAAGTTAATACTTTATATTTTTACTTACTTTACGTATCATACATACATAAATTATCAGTAGGGTTGTTCGTGAATAAAGGCGACTCAGTTAATGTAAATGTTTCATATACATCTAGCTGCAACTTTGACTTAGGAAAGGAACATCTAGTTTTATTAGGTATTATAGTCAAAGGTACTGTCTGTGAGTTGGCATATGTTGCGCTCACATTTTACCATGATTTTGTATTATTTTGTATTCCCTAACCTGCAACCTTGACTGTTACAAAATATTCTACATCCACCAAAGTAAGACTTAAAACCTGAACAGCTTGTATTACATCAAGTTGACCTAATTGATCCTGAATCAATTAAATGATGAGAGAACGAAAGTCCAAAGCAAGGTTGCGAATACAGAAGTGCTAAAAAGTGCAAAAGGTAAAAAAGTGTCTGAATCAAATCAGGTCAAAATAAGCGGGAAATTTTTAAATTAATTGCTTATTCTTTAACGTGAGCCGTGTTAGTTTCTCTAACAAAAAGGTTACAACTAGTTATAAGCTATAAATAATTATGTTTTTGCAAATTTGTCAATTTAAAACGATTTTAATTGGCTACAGATTAACCAGCTCTGCTCTGCCGCTAAACTGGTCTGGTTTATCTATCTCGCTAATGTAAACACTTAGACTACTGATTCAGCAGACCGGTGGTCTCTCCGTAAACTGACAAATGGTATCAATCCAATCCTGCAAGGAGCAAACTCTTGCCGCAACCTTGTAGGAAAGTAGGTCTAGGATTATTCATTAGGAAGTTTGGCCTGAAAGTTTTTACTTACTTCTGTCACTTACATGAGTCAAGTTCTGGGTTAGTGTTTTGTAGTAAACTCTGCGGATTTCCTTCTTGACTACATGTAAAATACAAAAACTTTAACGGTGAATATCTTGAGGATAACCGAAATAGGAAAACACCCGTCACAGCAACCTGCAGACTAATTGAAATTCCTTTTACCTCCATTTACATGGAATCGAATTTTAACAGCCAACAGTCTTATCGTCGTAACAAAACTCAGACTTAATGGTATATTTCCGTCATTACCAATTGTTAACAATACAGTAGGTCTACTTAAAATAAAGGTTAAATCGTGAAGCGGACATATTTATATCGATAAAGAGGTGTAATTATAATCGGATAGCTTGGGTGAGCAAGACAATCTGATAGTCAAGCGTACAAGGGTTAAATTATTCTTAATGTTGTAATAATAATATACTTGGAATTGTAATAATAATATACAGGGCGTTTACAAACTCCCAGGTAAGATTTTGTATATTTGTTTCCTTAAGTCAAAACAATAAAAACATCACATACACATTGCTTCAAAATGCCTGTTTGTTGTCTGTACCTATTTTTTTTCAAATCTCTCCATAACTTTTGAACACGAGTGATTGACTTCAAACTTAGTGCATGAGTAGAAATAGATATGACCGATCTTTGCACTGAAGACCCATGTTTATAGATCTTTTTTGTTTGTTTTGCGAAAAAGGATCGAATATACAATATCCTTTCATCAGAATTATTATACATCCTGTAGTAAGTTTGTGCTTATCTGTTTGATATCCGTTGGATGGATCATAATTTTGTCAAATTAGGATAATTAATGTTTTAAATAACAAAGTAACTTCAAATTCCGCACGCTGAGTCACTTATTCAAATGCATCCTATTAAATGCGCTCACTTTTGAGCCAAAGAAAGTGGAGTGAAAGGATTAGTAATTAGTTGTGATACAAACGTCAGATAGTCGGTGTCAAGGAAAGTGGTTGGAATATGAAATGACGAGCAGAGAATGTGGGAGGGGTCAATTACCATTTTAACTGGTATACATTTTCGCAACATGAGTTTGCATTTTTATTTCGTTTTGCTATCGAAGAAAGTCTAAAGAAAGTACTTAAGTCACAGATGTCATAATGTTGCAGTATGCAGCTATACAGTTAGTTGCAAAATCAGTTTTTAAAAGAGACTGGGGTTATTTTGTTTGGGTTTTAAATTAAATGTATTTATAGAATTTGCACTTTTACCAATACAAAACTGTTCGCAAAACAATAGTAGTTACAACTCTAGCTTAAATATTTATTTGTACAACATGTTTAAAGCCTACTCTTTCCAATAAAAGTTCAATCACAATAACAATATTCAAAACAAGTCATTTACATATTTTAAAGATATAAATATATTACGTAGTAATTCAGAAAACGTCGGACGAACAAATGCGCTTGTTGTTTTTCCTCAATTATTTAATAATGTAAAGGTAATTATGAGCAAAACTTTGTTGCAAAACGAACCAATGAAATATTATTGGAAAGATTTAGTTTATAGAACGATTATTATAATGAGTCTAAATCATATACTAAGATTGTATAATGTGTATTTATTACAATACTAGGCGAAACCCGTCGAAATTGATGGTTACTTTCAAGGTGTACGCTGATTAATCTAACTGCAATAAAAAATAGAGTAAAATTATCAAAATTTTGAACATTTAGATTTGTTTAATGAGTAATAAGTGTAAAAACAATTACTATTGCGTAAGTTATAAAATATTAATTAATCAGATAGATTATTCAACGAATAAAATATTTCTAGTATGTCATCGGAGTTATTATTACTATGTTAACTAGGGTTCATCTCCATTTAAAGAACCTTTTAGAGAGTATTAAAAAATCACATCTGTGGATCTCAAGTGGTAAACACTTCCGCGATTTCATCAGTGCAAGGCAGATTACATCTATTTTTTTTAATTTGAGAAAAATATCTGTTTGCTTAGAAGGCACGTTCTTATTTCAAAGGGAGGTCTACAGGCGAACCTATTCTTGAACTGTTCATACCGGTACGGTCTTACGGCTTCATCAACAACAAATAATGTAAAGTGCACAGCAATGCTGCATTTCCAAAAAGCAAATACTGTAAATACTGTAAGCAAAACTGGCTGTTACGAAAATAGTGACGTTTACATGTATTGTTGTTAATCAACGTGCCTTATAAAGGATTATGAGATATAGTTTAAAGGGAACATGACCTTCCTGTCATGGCATCAGCTGCTTGAATCATAACTATTATTTTTGCCAATTTTTTTACAGTCGAAGTTCAGTGTTATTTTCAAAAAATCTCACTTCAGAGCAAGTGG